TCTGCGAGTCGGATTGGTCTGATCACCAGCTGTCAGTTAAACTGGCCTCCACTCACTATCCGTGCGCGCTTTACACCTTGTTGCCTAGCCTGGCACTTTCAACTGGATCAGCCTAGCGAAGAAGAAGTCTGTCTCGATATTTCACACTTGAAGCGATTCAACGCTGTCTGCTCGAGCAGACATCCTCCGGAGCTGTTCAGATACGGCGTCACGGCAATCATTAACCAATTGACCTTCTTCGCAAAATTTGGCATGAAAAAAGTGCCTTCATCTTGAGACGAATCACTCCGTCCCGATTTGCAAGAAAGGCACTTGCACTTTAGTTGCCAACCACAGACTGGTTAGTCTTTTATTTGGTCTCCACGGCAATCATTAACCAATTGACCTTCTTCGCAAAATTTGGCATGAAAAAAGTGCCTTCATCTTGAGACGAATCACTCCGTCCCCGATTTGCAAGAAAGGCACTTGCACTTTAGTTGCCAACCACAGACTGGTTAGTCTTTTATTTGGTCTCCTCCAACCTATTGGCATCCACTGTTGAGTAGACTATCCCCAATACGTGAGTTGTACTACCGTGAAGAACAAGTTGATTTTCGTTCCGGCTGTGGTTGCATGGATCAACTCCTCGAGCATCACCAAGTTTACCCATCCTGGATCGCCTCATTCATAGACATACGGGCTGCGTTTGAGTTGTTTGCTCAACCTGACTTATGGCGTTACCTGCTAATGAAAAGGTTGGCAGGGAAGCATACTGCTATCCTACGCACACTATGCTTTATATCTCCGGCAAAATGAGGGTCTACGGCAAGTTTTTCTCGCGCTTCCCTGTCAATGATAATGTGCGACGGGGCTGACTTGTCCCCAACCCTCTTCAAATTCGCAGTCGAAGATGTACCATCGAGCGCTTTAGAAATTTCCCAAAATTTTGGTCTAGAGCTTCTACCAGGTGAGGGCTCGACCGACTTAGATTATGCTGATGATATCGTCTCAATTGGTAACGATCCACAAAGTGTGCAACTCATCCTGAATCGTTTGACGGTTGAAGCCTCTAAGTATGGCATGAGCTTCGTCCCCTCGATAAGTAGAGTACTGCTCCAATACTAGCGCACACCGGCTCACGTGCCCAATCTTGAAGGTGCACAACTTGAACAAGTGTTGGGAATCAAATGTGTGAGTTAATCAAGAGGGCGATTGCCCGGGTGCGGCAGAAAAACGCCGCGTACGGAAGCGACAGGCGCATGGTGTTGTACCACATGCGGTCGCGAGTACATGAACCAAGCGAACCTAATAAGCCACAAGCATTGCCACGTCGGGCCAGCGTCCAAAAGACGACGAGGCAACTGATTATCTAAGCGTAATCAGTGCAGCGATTGGTAGGTCCGCTGCTTCCGCACCCATTCGACTTACTAACCCAGTCCAATCAGGCGGTTGATTTGGTACATGTGCCGCATCGTCGTCGCAATTGATCTGTGCGTGCGCCTGCGTGTTGACATTGTTGCATTTCAGGTATTGGCTGTTGATTTATGTCCCCGCTGTGGCTGCGCTAGATGTGAATTTTGATAAGATGCCTACTTGTCTATTAATACTTACCACCTCGTCTATACTGGTTCCATTAGACAATTGGTCGTTGCTCGATGGGACGAGGTGTACGGTCCTCGTGACAGTGATTCCCTGCGATAATTATGGAACGGGCTACGGCCCAGCCACCGCATTGTGTATGTCTGCTACGCTCTGCTTGTTGAAGGAGCTTGGGCCGGCCCCATTGATGAAACATAGCTCCCATCCATGTGCCTTCCGGTCTTAATTCTTCGAGTTTACACTGGACATGTGATGTGCGCATGAAGCTGTGGGTGCGCAGTGCAAGCCGCGCATGATGCTTCTGTAGGCGCAGACGTGAGCACTTGCCTATACCCGCATGATTTAATGCTGAAAGTATAGAAGGAGCAGCTATTACACTTGTGTGAAGACGCTGGTCTATTTCTCTCAAGCACCAATTTCGGATACAACATCCATCGCAGGGTTACTTGGTACCCACTAGCCTTAGACTTGCAATGGGTTACTGCTAGAGATACTGCATCCAAAACTGTCACTCGGTTTGTAACACGAGCGTTAACTCCGATTCCACACCTGGAGGTGTCGACCTCCAGGTACGTTCATGCGGACGCCTAAGAGAACCCTGCGGGCGCATGCATACCCGGCACCCGACGAAGCCAATGGTACTGAATGCGTATCAAAGTACTATGGTGTTCACGCACTGCATTAAACGTTCAGTCAGTTTCATTTGTACTTCCATCTGGAATTGTTACTGAAGAAGCTACTTTTGAAAACGTTCAGCGAAAACATTTGTGACATTTTCATGCTTGTCTATTGTCATTGTTAGATCTTCACATTTTCTCGCTGTTCCGAGTTAAACACCCAAAAGTCTCTGCAAGAGTTCTAGCGCAGCCGAAGAAAAATCAGAAGTCCAACGACCTAGACCACGAAAAACGTGTTAACAAAACGTCGACAGAACGCGGCCAAAGCGCTGTATAACTACACCGGACCTACGCCAAGTATATAAGTAGCACATTAGCCTTCAGCTCCTAGAAAACGAAGAGCAACTGGTAAAAATAACAGCTTCCTTGCCAAAATTCCATATATTGGCAATTGCGTGAAGGAATTGAGGGTTCAGAAATCTTCGAAATCAACGCACAATCGAAGACAATCTATTAGTTGCTAAAATAGTGAGTTTTCCTTGATGGTTTTACCATTTACCGGATACCGACACTGAGACGGCTGCCGCGGTTTATGATGATAGCTTAGGGTTGACCTGAAGCCTCCTGGACAGTGTTCTACGCCTACCGGTCCATCGCCTTGGCTGTAGTATTCTGGATTCGAGTTCCGTGCTCTGCGGTCTGGTATCTTTCTTCTGCTGACAGGGTTATTCCACCGCGTGCTCTTCAGGCAAGTTGAAGCTGTCCGTCAACAGGTCAAATGGAATCTCGGCAGATTCTGTTACTTGTGACTGACACAGTGTTGGTCGCAGTTGGTTTTCATGGCGTACCCATATCTTCGTTCAAACCAGCATGTCGTAAATGAAGTTTTCGCGCTTGTCCTGGATCGTGCCTTGCCTTCGTTTTGCGTATCCTTCCTGGTAATCACGTACAAGTGCTGGCTGACCCGGTTTAAACGAACGTCGCTTGGCACCATACCGCCGGTTGAAGTCATGTTCCATCTTGAGGTTCCTTTCACCAGCTGTGGGCGCCGAGGTCGGCCGAACTGCATCAAATGACATACGAAGCTTTCTCTTCATCATTGCCTCTGCTGGTGATACTCCTTCCGTCCTTTGTGGATTTTGTGTGCAGAAGGAGGAACCGGTCGAACACCTCCTCTATCTCCTTCCTTGATTGGAGGAGAGCGCGTTTGAATGTATCCACAAATCTCTCCGCTTGGCCATTCAATTGTGGGTGAAATGGTGGAGACCGCACGTGTCTGATGGCACAGCGTTTGCAGAACTCAGTGAATGTGACAGAAGTAAACTGTGCTCCGTTGTCCGTCACCAAAGTTTCAAGGCAGCCGAACCTACTGAAGATTTGGCGCAACCTAGAGACTGTTGCGTTGGTTTCCGTGCTGCTCGTGAGGGACACTTTGAGCCACTTGCTGTAAAACTCGACAAATATGAGAAAGTTCTGGCCGTTGATCGGATCTGCAAAGTCGACATGAACACGGCTCCAAGGTTTCGTTGATTTTGGCCACGAATGGAGTTCAGTGTTCGGTGGTGCCCTTGAAGCGGTAGCGCAGTTGCTGTAACCGCTAGCTGGCTGCTTCAGCTGTGTATCCATAAATGGTCAATACACATAACTTCGGGCAAGCGCTTTCATTCGGTTGAGCCCTGGATGCCGTGCATGGGACTTCTGCAACACTTTCTTGCAATATCTGCGGGATGACTACTCTTTATGAGAACATGACGCAATCGTTCACAATGGAGAGCGAATGTCTTCGCTGATAGAACTGTTGCATTTCAGCAGAGGAGCACGAACTTGGTCAGCCAGTTCTGTGGAAGTGTGCAACCTACTTTAGGATTAGATCTCGAAGCGTTTCGGCCTGTACAACTTCTACCGCAACTGGAAAACCATGTAATGCCTCGCTCCAGGAATTTGACATCAGGTTCGATCTCAACTGAGGCTATGATGGTATGCTTGTGTTCTTGCTGATGGGAATCAATGAGGCGTGACAACTTATCTGCTTGTCCCATCGAAACCGTTGACTGATAGCGGATTTCAAAACTGTAGCCTAGCAATGTGAGTGCCCATCGTTGGAGTCGATTGGCTGTATTGGCAGGAATTCCCTTTTTCGAGCCGAAAATGGTCAGCAGCGGCTTGCGATCCGTCATGAGCTTGAAGCTGCGAACATACAGCATCTTGTGAAATTTCTTCACAGCAAAGACTTTGGCCAATGCCTCCTCGATCTGACTGTAGTTTCTTTCGGCTTTCGTCAGCGTCCTGGCGGCATGTGCGATCGCCTTCTGAAGTTTATCTGAGAACGAACGGGAAACTACGGTACCGATCACTAGGCTTGATGCATCTGTGGCGAGGACAATTTCTCGGGACAGGTCGCAGTGAGCCAGGAGTAGGTCTGAGGCCAGCATTAACTTGACCCTGTCGAACGAAATCTGACATTCTTGCGTCTAATTCCAGGTTCGGCCCTTGCTCAGCAACTTGTTCAGCGGGGCACGCAGGTGGAGTAGTTCGGGCAGAAAAGCGCTGTGATAACTAATTAGGCCACAGAATGAACACAGCAATTGCGAATCCGCAGGCGGGGACATCTTTTGAATAGCCCGGCTATTTTCTGGATCAGGGAGACGACCGTCTTTTGCGAAAACATAGCCGAGGAAATTGATGGCTGGTGTCAAAAATGTACACTTGTCTTCACAGATACGGAAACCATATGATTGGATGTGTCCAAGCACTTCAGCGAGTCGTTCAAATAGTTCTTCTGCCGTCCGACCCATTAAAATGATATCATCCAGGTATGCCGCGGCTCCAGAAACTCCCGCCAGCATGGTGTCCATCGGATGCTGGAAGATGGCTGGTACCGTTTCCACTCAAAAAGGGACGCTGGTACAAGCCACGATGGGGGTTGATGGTCAGCAGTTCTCTCGAGTCTTCATGAACATCGACCTGGAAGTAGGCATCAGTCAAGTCGAGCTTGGCGAAACACTTCCCACCACTCAGCTCGGCAAAGATATCCTCTGGTATCGGAAGGGAGTACTGATGGTCGTCTAGTGTGGCATTTAGACCAATCAAAAATTCGGCGCAGACACGCACTTTACCATTCGGCTTTCTCACTGCAACGATCGGCACAGCCCATGAAGAGTACTTCACTGGTGTGATGACACCAGTGCGCTCCAGTCTGTCGAGCTCCTGATCAACTGCTGCCATCGCTGCATACGGTAACATTCATCTTGCTTTGAAGACTGGGTTGGTTTCTTCGCGAAAGCACAACTTTGCTTTGAACTTGGTGCAGTGACCGACATAATCTTCAAAAAATGAGGCAAACTTCTGCCTCAGCTTTCACGTCATGTCTTCTATCCACAATGATGCATGGACTGGATCGATTTGGACTATTGCAAATCTGATTCATTGGAACGTCAAACAGTTTCAACTTTTCCATCCAGTCAAGCCCAAGGAGGTTCAAGTTTGGTCGGTCAGACAAGTAGCAGGTTCCGGCCTGTTCCACTCTGCTGAACGCTGTTTTGCAAGTTATTTCTCCGACCAGCTTCAGCACTCCAGCGGATGCGTTGTAGGCGACTTTGTTGGAATCAACACTCTTCGGCCACTTTATGTGCCTCCGTGTTCTTGGGAATGATCGTTATATCTGAGACCGTATCGAACTGCAGCTTGGTTAGGACCCTTTGATGAACACCGTGCTATATCGGCGGCGTGGTCCAGAGTCGCTGTGAGAAGCGGCAATCATCAATAGTGATTCTGTTTCAGGCTTTTTAAAGTTCTTCTGTCGGTTGGAATGCTTTACGTTTCTTAGCCAAGACTGATGGCAAAAGTCTTCCTTGTGGCCGCGTTAATGGCATTTATCACAAACATGGCGCTTGAATGAACAGTATCGTGCGAAATGCCACTCACCACATGACCAACGAGGTGTAGGCGGCTTGTTCGGCGCTCTGCTGAACGGGTTATTCGAACCAGTCTTTCTTGCTTTTTGCACGGCATGAAGAGTATCGGCAATGCTTGCACGACTCTTTTTAATCATAGCGGTGTCGTGTTTCAAAGTGATCAACCGTTTGCATTAGCCTACGAGAGACTTCAATGTAAACTCTGTATCTTGATCTGACTTAGCAAGGGGCCGAGTACGGAATTCCGCGTCGCGTTGGGACTGCAAAGCACTGACAAATATGAAATACTTAAACTGGTCATCCGTCAAGCAGCGTAACTTGAAACGTTCACATTCACATGTCTGTCAGTGCCCCATAATCGTCCTTATCCCGCCTAACAATGTTTAGACATAGGTAACGAATGCTAACTGTCACGTGCGCGAATGACTTCGCACTACTTTGCACAACTACCGCCTAGGACCACAAATTCTACAGCGGGCTTCTCACGAGTGCGATCTCGGCGTGATAGTTCAAGATGACTTCGGTTGTTCGAGGCAGACTGAAAAGGCAGCTAAGAAAGCGAACCTGTACCTCGGCCTTCTTCGCAGAGCCTTCGGGAAGTTTGACCCTTCGATCTTTCCAAAAATGCGTAGTGCGTACGTGAGTCCGCACGCGGAATACCCTATCCAAGCGTGGCAACCCTGGCTCAAGCACCATCTCACCGAGCTCGATACTGCACAACGTAGGGCAACGAAGAGCGTCAGAGGTTTGACCAGCCTCCCCTACCCACTCAGGCTGAAGACCCACAAAATATACAGTGGACGTTATCGGCGTCTAAGGGGCGATCTCATAATGGTGTACCAGATCCTGAGAGACCCCAACCACCCATGCCATTCCCTTCTAATACTCAGACAAAACACCTCGCTAAGAGGTCACCAGTTTAAGTTAGTCATGCAGTACAGCCGCCTGGAATGTCGGCGAAACTATTTCTCCCTTTGAGTGTCACAGCCTTGGAACGTCCTCCCGGAACATGTAATTAATGCACCCACCCTATCCCTTTTCAAAAACGCCCTGACCATACCCTGTCACATTTACACTATAGCTCATGACCACCAGATGCTGGCAATAATGCACGACAGACAGGGGATAGTGCCATAACACCACTCGAGAATGAGTCACTCCAAACGCCTTGCACGAAATTTGATAAACGCTACTACTATAGAAACTGGATTTCTGTATCCTGTCGACCCAAGATAGTTGCACACGAGTAAGCGTTGTCCTTGCTATCTTTTTTATTTTTCTCGCCTATGATGTGAACAATAATCACTCCCCTGTTGCATTGTGTGTGTACATTCTCATTTCAAACTCCCTTTATACGACAGTGCAGTTACATCTGTAAGCGCCCGAACTGACGATTACATTATCCCTTCGCTGTTTTTTGTCAGACTAAACACCCTACGGGACATGTCAAGCGCCTACTTTTTACCCGTTATAAATCATTGTTCATTGTTCTCCTAACACTCTTATCTAATGTCTTTAGTTGTGAGTTACACAAAGGATTCTTTTCTACCATATTTATGTATCAAATGGACCCAAGATATCGGCCATACTTTAGTTTTCTCACGCCTTTTATTAATGACCAGTGTACCGTGGTTTATTTCTAAACATTTACGCTCCATTTTTAAATTTTACACTGATGTTATTTATCGTAGTATTCATCTCGACAGACTTTCGGTAGGTGACCCACATATATTTTGGTTTCATCGTATTCACCCCAACCGTCCTATGGGACTTGTCAAGCACTTGCTTTCATCCCGTGATAAATCATTTTTCATTGTTCACGTTTTCTCGCTATTCCGAGTTAAACACCCAAAAGTCTCTGCAAGAGTTCTAGCTCATCCGAAGAAAAATCAGAAGTCAAACGACCTAGACCGCGAAAAACGTGTTAACAAAATATGGACAGAACGCGGCCAAAACGCTGTATAACTACACCGGACCTACGCCAAATATATAGGTAGCGCAATGGTCTTCGGCTTCTAGAAAACGTAAGTCTACTGGTAAAAATAGAAGCTCCCTTGCCAAAATTCCATTTGTTAGCAAGTACGTAATTGAGGGTTCAGAAATCTTCGAAATCAATGCACAATCGAAGACAATCGATTAGTTGCTAAAATATAGGGTTTCCCTTGATGTTTTTAATTTTTATGGATACTGAGATTCATCACGTGCTGAACCATTGCCTCATTCTTTCACTACCCCTTAACTATATATTCGGCGCAATGCACTATGTCGTCCCTATGTATTTGCTAATGAGTTGCAAATCTTTTTCACCTTTTATGTTACTGACATGAACCACACCACGAACTCCACTATATCTGATTTATAAACCCTAGAGTTATGGTGTGCCAAATGGGATGTCATTCTCAACCGAGAATTGCTGTGCCCTACTGTTACCTTGTACAATCGTACGTAGCACCCTGGTCCTGTATGGAAAACTAATATCGCGCAACTGTGCAGTAAAGGAGTTAGGCCTTCATTATTCTGGCTCACATAACTTTATGGAACACACGGCAAATGTAGTCGCCGAAGCTCGTCGTAGCATTGGACCACTATTCAAAACATTCAAAGTGCACGTATGTATGTAATCTCAGTAGTCTAGCAAATAGACAGAGCCAGTAGAAAAACATAACCAGAGGATAAGAGACAATCAATGCGTCATAATCATCGTGGCAAAGTAGTTAAAAGTGAGCAACACACTTCAGATAATATGCCACAGGAAGAAAGGACAATTTTGACAAAAAGTAGAACAAAACATGTTTAGTTTGTTTTTCACACGCCGTTTTCTATGTTTGTAGTATTAAAAATATGAATCAATACAATACTGTACACAATTCTTCCCCTGATTCCGGTTGCGGGCCATATCTTCAAGAGTCCTAAGCCATTGGCACTCCTCATCTTTGGGTCCCCATCCTGGAAGACGTACGGATCCAACAGCGGCTATACACGACGTCAGCGATTTCATGTGCTGCCGCCAAGTGGAAGGCTGACCACCACGCAATCTCCTCCAGCCATGTCCTTGACGAGCGAATAGAGCGCGATGCGGTAAACGCTCAGATGCCATGCGGAGAACATGACCGAGCCATCTCAACTGGCGCAGATAAACCAGTTTGTTGGAACATTTCCCAAGATGCGACGTCGAACGTCATTACCATTAACTCGATATTGCCACCAAACACGAGCAATCCTCCTTAAGCAACCGTTATCGAAGGCAGTAAGACGACGAATGCCTTCCACGCCAATCGGCCAGGACTAGCTCCCATATAACAACACTGAGCAAACTGATGCGCTGTAAACCCGGCTCTTTAGCGAGAATGTGAAGTCGCGACGACGTAAAAAGTGCCTCGGATTGACAAATGCCGATTGAGCTTTAGCGATGCGAAGAGAAACTTCTTTGTTGATAGTGTCGTCAGCAGAAACACAGCTCCCAAGGTAGACGAAACTATCTACCCGTTCAAGTTGTGCGCCTTCGAGAGTAAGCACGGGAACAGGTGAAAGCCAATCCTTGAGCAGTACTTTACAATTCGATGGGGCGAAGCACATGCCATACTTAGATGCTTCAACCGCCAAACGATCCAGAATGAGTTGAATATCCTGAGGATCGTCACAAAGTAAGGCGATATCATCAGCATAATCTAAGTCGGACGCACGCTCACCCGGTAGAAGCTCTAAGCCAACATGTTGGAAACCTTCTAGAGCATTCGACAGAACGTCTTCGATTGCGAAGTTGAAGAGGAATGGGGACATAGGGCAGCCCTGTCGCACACCGCCATCGACAGCGAATTGCGAGGAAAGCTTGCCATAGACCCTCACTCTGCCGGATGTATGAAGGTAAAGTGCTCGTAAAATGGCGGTATATTTCTCTGGCACCCCGTTCTTTAGCAAGCAACGCCATAAAGCAGGTCGATCAACGGAGTCAAAAGCGGCACGTATGTCTAGGAATGCAACAATAGTGGGCCTGTGATAAATGTGGCGAAGTTCGAGGAGCTGGTGGAGCGTGAAGATTTTATCCACGCATCCGCAGCCAGGACGGAAACCAGCTTGTTCTTCACGGTAGTATGATTCACGTACTGGGGATAGTCTACGAAGCAGAATGGATGCCAATAACTTAGTGGCAACCGAAATAAGACTGATCCCGCAATGACTTACACATGAAGTGCGAGCGCGTTTCTTGAAAATCGTGACAATAACTGATTCGCCCCGAGAGGAAGGCACTTTCCATGCCAGATTTTCGCGAACAGTGCGGTCAGCTGGTTAATGATCGCCACACCGCCGTTCTTGAACAACTCCGGAGGA